AGTTTGGTCACTACAAATATTCTGAATTCCTTATCAGACATATCCATGACATCCATTGTATTAACTGTGGGTGATGTAGGCTTGATGATTTCCCTTGAGTGAGAGGTCTTTTGTTGGTTGCTCATATTTCTTTAGTCTCTGCGAATCTTGCTCGCAATTACCATTAACTGTTGCCACTAGTCCTGGATGGACTAGTGTTTCTAAGGAGTGGTGAGCCTCCAACTGACCAAATAAGCAACACGTCAAGAGCAAAGAACCACAAAACAAAAAAAGGAAATCATGCGGCGCGCTTTGCACGCTGTGCACTATTCAGATCACCAAAATTCAGAGAGTCCAAAGGCTAGTGGGAAAGGGCCAGAGGTTGAGTGACAGGACCAGGTTGGTTGGGCCTGCAGCCTCAGTCCGCCTGGTGTCCGGAACTACTGGCCGGCTCAATCCAGTTTGCAGATAGGGTGGGGTGGGATTCACCTTAAAGTCCCAAACAACCAACCTGGAGTCCAAGGAGGAGGAACGGTGGGGATGCATGAAGGTTCAGAGGGGTCCGGCCTGCAGCCTCAGTCTGCCTCATCTCATAATTTATTGAGTAAATGAGTCAGATAGCTTTGTCTTCATAACCAAATCTATTAAATTATCTTTTATTAGCCCGATGTTCTAGGTATTCTATCCTTTTACAATAAAATGAATACCATTGCTTACATAAAGGGTTAATCATCATTTCATTGTGCTCTGTATCCATCTCTTTACCTTTCAGTGCTTTCTTCCTACAGGTATCCCCTTCTTTCTGCCATGCCATCAACTCCCCTCCACTTAAAGATTCCCGTTAACATGTCAGCAGGGTCAATGCCTCTCTTTCCCCAAAGTACCCTCCCTCCTATCACCATTTTCTCTTTCTAATAGCAAAGTTTGTGGAAAATAGAGGGGACTTCAAAAAGTTCATAGAAACATTGAATCAAAGGGTAGATTTTCAAAATATTTTGAAATCCATTCATAGTTTTTTATAACACACATTTTCCACAACTTTTTAAAGTCTTCTCACATCATTTCTACTCACTATTCTGACTTTAACTCTGGCTTTCATCCCCACCATTGAAACATCTCTTTTCCAGATCACCAGTCACTTTCATGTTGCCAGATCCAACATCATGCCTATCTTCATCTTTCTCAACCACAGGATATGATCAGTCACCCTCCCTCCTTAAAATATTGTCTATTTGCTTTCATGACACCACCTTTTTCTTTTTTTAATTTAATTTTGCCATAGGGTGTATATGTTCACTGGGTGGCGGGGGGAGAAGAAAGTGAGAAAGTACTCCCCATGGAGGATGGTTATATTGTAATGTCTTTGCCTTCATATCTCCTTCCTTTTGAGATTTGCACATATGTATATATATGCAGCATGTTTCTGAAGCTGAGATTTGCACATATGCAATGTGCATCTAGCATGTTTCTGAAGCTGCCAGGTACAGGACTTGAACAGTCAACCATGTGAGATCCAGGCGCCTTAAACACCACACCACGGGCTGCCCCACCACCACTTGCCCTCTTCATTTATTCTAACCTCTAAATTCCTGCCACTTAAAGTATGGTCTTGGGGATCAACAACATTGATAACACCTAGGAGCTTATTAGATTTACAGAGTCTCAAACTTCAGACCAACTGAATCAGAATCTTAATTTAATAAGCTTACCAGATAACTCCTATGACAAATTTGTGGAATCACTGTACTAAATGTAGGTATGCTCTAGGTCCCTGTACTATACTATCCTCCTAGTTGATCCCATCCATGCCCCTGGCTTCATTTAACGTTTATCTCCTAGTCTATCTGTAGCACTGGCTTCAAAATTCCAGATTCATATACCAAATAGCCTATGTGACATCTCCATTTAGTTGTCTCAGGTAATCAAACTTAATATGTTGAAAATAGAAGCCTCTGGGGCCAGCAGGTAATGTGGCAATTAAAGCACTGGACGCTCGCATGACCGACCACGGTTTGAATTCCAGACCTGGCAGCTTGCTTTCTCAATTTCTCTCTCTCTCTAGTGAGTACATGTGCCCTATAGAAAATTTTTAAAAGAATAAAATTAAATAATTATTTAAAAAAAGAAAATAGAAGCTTTCCCCTGCCTCACCAATAGCCCTATCAAAATAACAACAGCTAAATTGACACAGTCCTCAGAGGGGAACAAGCACTATTCTAAGTGCTTTACATGCATCAGTTTTTCTAGTTTTATTTTTTAGGATTTTGCCACACAGTGTGTGGGCTCACTGGAGAGGAGAGGGACAGATAGAGGGAAAGTGAGAAATCACCCCCCCCCCCAAGAGGGATGGACCACAATATCTCCTTCCTTTTGAGATTTGCACATATGTATATATATGCAGCATGTTTCTGAAGCTGAGATTTGCACATATGCAATGTGCATCTAGCATGTTTCTGAAGCTGCCAGGTACAGGACTTGAACAGTCAACCATGTGAGATCCAGGCGCCTTAAACACCACACCACGGGCTGCCCCACCACCACTTGCCCTCTTCATTTATTCTAACCTCTAAATTCCTGCCACTTAAAGTATGGTCTTGGGGATCAACAACATTGATAACACCTAGGAGCTTATTAGATTTACAGAGTCTCAAACTTCAGACCAACTGAATCAGAATCTTAATTTAATAAGCTTACCAGATAACTCCTATGACAAATTTGTGGAATCACTGTACTAAATGTAGGTATGCTCTAGGTCCCTGTACTATACTATCCTCCTAGTTGATCCCATCCATGCCCCTGGCTTCATTTAACGTTTATCTCCTAGTCTATCTGTAGCACTGGCTTCAAAATTCCAGATTCATATACCAAATAGCCTATGTGACATCTCCATTTAGTTGTCTCAGGTAATCAAACTTAATATGTTGAAAATAGAAGCCTCTGGGGCCAGCAGGTAATGTGGCAATTAAAGCACTGGACGCTCGCATGACCGACCACGGTTTGAATTCCAGACCTGGCAGCTTGCTTTCTCAATTTCTCTCTCTCTCTAGTGAGTACATGTGCCCTATAGAAAATTTTTAAAAGAATAAAATTAAATAATTATTTAAAAAAAGAAAATAGAAGCTTTCCCCTGCCTCACCAATAGCCCTATCAAAATAACAACAGCTAAATTGACACAGTCCTCAGAGGGGAACAAGCACTATTCTAAGTGCTTTACATGCATCAGTTTTTCTAGTTTTATTTTTTAGGATTTTGCCACACAGTGTGTGGGCTCACTGGAGAGGAGAGGGACAGATAGAGGGAAAGTGAGAAATCACCCCCCCCCCCAAGGAGAGATGGCACCACAATTCCTTCTCCTCTCAGGATTTTGGGCATGTACTTACACGTACCCAACATGACTTTCAAGTCACCAGATCCGGGACTCAAACAGCAGTTGGCCATGTGGGAATCCAGCCATCTTAACCGCCATGCCACCTGTGGGTCCCAACACACATCAGCTTCTTTAATCCTCTCACCATCTTCAAGAGAGGAACTGCTACCATCCCCATTTTACAGATGGGAAAACGGAGACAGAGTAACTTGCTCATAATCACACATCTCCTAAGTCCCACCCCCAGGATTTGAAGTTAGGTGACCTGGATCCAGAACATGCCTCCTCACTGGTTCATCTCTCAATTCCATCTGCCCCATATCTTGAAACACAAACCTGAATAATCATTTATTTGTCCCATCATCCACTGCTAGTCCTACACATTTCCAAGTGCTATCTTAAAACTATGGACTTCTTTTCAGGTGTAGGGCCCCACCTTTGTCCAAGCCATCACTTTTCCCTTTATTCATTAGCTTCCTAACAGGTTTTCCTCCTGCCTCTCTACCTTGTCTTCCCTCACAGTAGTAAGTGAGCTAAGTAAAAACTAAAGCCCTATAAAGCCCCTTCATGACCACAATCTTAAGTTACCTTTGTGATCTGAGCTCAGTTGCCAGGGCCTCCTATTTCTTGAATATGTCAACTATGTGTCCTATCCCTCAGTTTTTTCTCTTGTTGTTCCCTTGGACCAAAATTAATTTCTCCCGGGACCAGCAGTTAGTGTAATGGCTATGTCGCTGGACTCCCATGTAGTCAACTGTGGTTCGCATCCCGGACCCAGTGGCTTAAAACTCACGCCGGGTGCGTGTGTATGTGTGCCCAAGATCCCGAGAGGAGAATGGAGGAGAAGAGATTACGGCGTGGCCATCCTCCCAGGGGGTGATTTCTCGCTTTCTGTCTCTCTATCTCTGTCTGTCTGGCGAGTGCACGTGCCCTATGGCGAAACCTCTCAAAAAAAAATTAATTTCTCCCAGCTTCCTTATCCTACCTTCTCAGTTCTTATGTTGCCTCTTCCCAGTCATGCTATATAAAAGAATTTATCAACCATAACACCCTGTTTCCCTCATGGTACTTATGATCTAAACTTAAAAGTAAGAGTGCTATTTAAAAGTATCAAGCAAGCCCTAGTCTACATGGATTCAAACCTGGCTCTACTCTATGATCTCCCTGTGCCTCTATCTACTCATCTATGAAATGGAGCATAATAGTTACTACTTAAGATGGCTTCTGTGGTGACTGACAGTAATACCTGGCATACGATAAGTGCTGTATCAACATTTGTATAGTTAAATATACTTTAAGGCCAGGACTTTGCCCCTTGATCATTTTTATGTTCCTAGTGCTTAGAACACCCAGCTTATAAAAGTTTGTCAAATGAAAATTTCTTCTTTATTATTCCCTTCACATAAACAATAGTATCTACCATTTCCTAGTGCTACATTGACATTTTCACTCTAGGATCAATTAATGTGCTTTCACGATTAAGTTCACATGCATTTATTTTATTCTATTGTATGACTGTTATACAAAAAGTACAAAACTTTGTATAACCTACAAAATGTACAAAAGCCTAGTCCATTTTCCAATGCCAAACCAGAGCCAAGTTGCAAAAAAGGAAGACAGCACAGTGAGTTACAAGAAGAGCTCAGGTGTCCTATACAAGCCACGATGCCTGTCACACAATGTATTTAAAGCTGTAAATATTGCCACAGGAGAACCGCTTGTCTTTGCAACGTCCACATAGCTCCTGTCGATGAGGCCGCCTTAGATCAATGTGTCTTTTCTTTTGAGGACAGGAACAACGAGACTTTGAACAGGTCTTTAGAAAACAAAGAACAGTTGGGACAGTAAATTATTAAATTAGTGTCTCAAGTTTAATCCATATGTTAATATTTCTCCTCAACTATACCTATGGCTGATATATTTATTCTCCTTCAAGTCCTACCTATGAGAAGCTCTTGACCAAGTTGTATAAAATCACCTGTATACAATAAATATCATACATTTTTCCAAGATGAAAGATGAGAGACGCTCAAGAAAATATTGCTGAACCAACCAATATGACATAAAGAGAAAAGTTTCAAAAGTTAGAGTTTTGTAGAATATCTTCACTATAGATCTTATACCTGTCCCTGGGTGGGAGTGAGAGGTAGTGGGTGAGAATAAAGTGATTTGATGATATAAATGGGAGCAGCGTTTCTCAACCAGAGTGATTTTTACCTCTACACATTTGTCCATGTCTCAATATATTTTTGGGTTGTTAAAACTAGGAGAGGGGAATATTCTAGAGGAACATAAGTTTCTTTTCTTTCTAAACATTCAATCTGCCCATCATGTCTTCTGATAAATAAAGCATCACAGCCTATAGAGACTGGTATGCTTTCCTGGTCCATTCCCCCCAACTCTGCCAATCTTTGCTCACTACTCTATTTTCCACATGTGTTCCACAGTCACATAGCATAAGTCAAGACTCACCTTTATATTTTGTAAAAATAAGCATTTTCATGTTCTTTTTAAAAAGAGTTAGTTATTTAGCTTTATCATTACTATTATTTTTAATTTGCTACAGGGCTGAGAGAGATAGAGAAACAAGCCACCAGGTTTGGGACTTGAACCACGGTCAGTCACGTAGGAGTCCAGCACCTTAACCACCATGTCACCTGCTGGCCTCACATTTTTCATTTTCTAAGTACTATACTCATATCCTCTACTCTCCCAATGAGAAGTATGCCTCCTTACAAGAAAATTCCAACAGCCGATACTCACATGGTGTTTACTTTAAGCCTAGCACTGTTCTAAGCACTTTACTGAGATTAATTCATTTCATTCTCATAATATCTTTTTGTTTTTTTTCACAGTCTTATCACACTGCAATCCTTCTGCCATAACCTCTCAACTGGGGCTACACATACGCACCACCACACCTAACTTTTTTTCTTTCTTTCTCTTTTTTTTAGGTTTTTGCTATAGGGCACATGCACTCACCAGAGAGAGACAGAGAGAGGGAAAGTGATTAATCACTCCCTAGGTTGGATGGCCATGCTGCAATCACTTCACCTGTATTCTCCTCTCAGGATTTTGGGCAAGTACGCACACATATCTGGCATGACTTTCAAGTCACCAGGTCTAGGACTCAAATTGGGGAGTCCAACATCTTAACAACCATGCCACCTGCTGGCCCCACATCCAGCTCTTTTTTCTATAGAGTCTTATTATGTTGTGCAGGCCAGCCTCAAGCTAAAGATCCTACAGCCTCAGCCTCCCCGAGTCTCTGGAAGTACATGTACATGTCACTGTGCCTGGCCTTTAGGTTGGATCTGGAATTGATCTCTAACCTCCTGTGTGGTCCCACCTGCAGAGCACAGCATCTTAGTAGTGTGAGCCATTCCAGCTGGGTCTCCTATACTACCCTTACATGGAAGAAGACTCAATATAAAAAGGATTTAGTCTAAAAGCAGATTTATCATTCTGGCAATGGTGGGTTAGGTAATTCTGACCAAGTCTCCTGGACAACTAGAAACACTGACATAAAATTAAATAAGTAACTGTTTGAAAGCCCTGGAAAATTATCAAAGCATTAGAGAAGAAAATCTAGGAAAAGATGGGAGTCTGACATTTGGGACTGTTTTCTCTTCCTGTGGTTTTCTATATATGTTATCTAGCATTCAATCCAAAGTAAACAATATGTGAGGAAACAGAGTAACATACTTGAAAACAAAGAGGATAGGAACAGACCGACAGTTAATGGAATTATCAGACAGATTTTAAAATAACTATGTTTAATAAGTTTAAGGAAATAAGACAGATATTTCTAGCAGAGAACTGGAATTGATAAAAGAAAGAAATGGAAGGAAGAAACAGATGGCAGGAAGGATGTTTTAGAACAGAAAAATATGATAATTAAATCTATAACTCAGTGTAGCAGATTGGAAAGATCTGAGATGAGAAACAGAAATAGATAATAGGGGCTGGCCAGTGACATGTGGTTAAAACTGCTGGATTCCACGTGGCCAAGAGCATGATTCGCATCCCAAACCGGCATTTGGAAAACATGCTGGGTGTGTGGATGTAAATGCCTAAGATCCCTAGAAGAGAATGGAAGAGAATGTCTACAGCCCATGTGGCCATCCCCCTCAGGGATGGTTTCACTTTCGTTTTCTCACTTTCTCTTTCTCTCTCCAGTGAACACATGTGGTCTATAGCAAATTAAAAAAAAAAAAAAGCATGATGCTTTTTTAGATAATATCTAGCCTGAAGCAAGAAGAGACAAAAGTATGAAAAACGTTGAAGATATTTTGTAGTTTTATCAATAGTACTAGGGAGAAATGCTCACCTATTGAAACATCCATTTTGTAAGACAAATAATAATGTGGTTGAATGTATGGAAGAAAATGAAATGAAAAAAATTTTTAAATAATAAAATAAGTAACCAAAAAAAAAAAAAAGAAAAAAATAGCATAAGAGGCAAAAAGTAATAGGAAGGGCCTAATATGAGTAACTAGAAGAGAAAGAGAGAGTGAAGTAACATTTGAAAAGATAATGACTGATTCCAAAAGTGATGAAAATCTTCAGTCTACAGATTTTAGAAACCCTATGAAACCCTAGCACAGTAAATACAAAGAAACTACAACTAAGCACCTCACTGTAAAAATACTGAAAATAAAGCAGAGAAAGATCTTAAAAGTGAGCAGATTTTGTTCCTCAAAGATCTACAATTAGAACTACCATTTGATCCAGCAATACTACTTCTGGGTATCTGCCCAAAGGACAGGATAATGCTCAGTTAGAAAAGCCCTCGCACATCAATGTTTATTGCAGTATTATTCATGATTGCTAAGACATGGAACCAACCCAAATGTCCACAAACAGATGAATGAATTGAAAAAGTGTGGCACATATACTCTATGGAATACTGCTCAGCCATAAAAAGCAACAAGACCCTGGCATTTGATAGAAAGTGGAGGATCTATTACTGAGTGAAGCAAATAAGGATATTAAAGAAAGATATTGTATGTATCCACTTAATATATTCTGACTATCCACACTTTATGGTAGAGATCGAAGTATTGGAGGGCATTGAAGCAGTGAAAATAGTTAGGGATGCTGAAGACAGTGTGGAACAGGGGAGGGGGAAAAGGGAAGCATATAGAGAAGGATAGCAAGAGAAAGAATAGAGGGGCATGACATTAGTGGGACACAGAAATGGTTTATTTTATTACCATGATAATATGCATAGTATTCTCAACTGGACTGGTCTGAGAAGTATTTCATGTTGGGTAAATTCTTTTTACAAACAAAATGATATATAGAGATTGAATGCTTTTAAAAATGAGAATAAAAATACTAATCTGGAAAAATAATGATGAAAAGCTATTTGATGATGATGATGATGTGGATAGTAATGTCTTTGTCTTGACTGATATGCATGGTATTCCTTCTGGAAAAAGAAATGTAATATACTGTAAAGATACATGTGATTCAATGTAATATAAATAAGATTATGATAATAATAAATAAGTACTTTTTTTAAAAGTAAGCAGATTTAAGAAAGAAAGATTACTTCAAAGTAGCTACAAAAAAACTAAAAAACAACTTTTCATGAACAATGAGAGCAAGATCCTTAAAAAAAAAAAAAAAAAAAAGAACCATGGCCAAATCAACGTATCTGCAGCCAGCAAAAATATTTCTTAAGAAAGATATCCAAACAAAACAAAATTTGTCACCTTCAGATCTGTACTATAGAAACAAAAATTTGGCTCTTAAATTTCATGAGTAAGAATGATAGTGATACAGAGAAACAAGCATCCACAAGGGGGTATTCACTCACAGTTTCAGTCAGCCCAAACAATAGGTACACACACACTCAGCATATTGGGTGAAGTCTTCAGATACAACCTTGGAACCTTCTCATGTGGTCAGCCTTACAGAGTGTTGTGTTACCACTGTGCCACCATCGCATTCCCCAGAAAATATCAAAGTCTATTCTTCAAAAGGAAATGATCCCAGATACAAAAAAGACCTATGAATAACAGCAAGTATAAATATGTAAGTAAAGCAAAATGAATACCATCTAAAATATTATTTTATGAAGTTTAAAATATGGGTAAGATTAAAAAATACAACAGCAGCAACATATAAATTAGGATAAAGTGATATGGAATCAGTGTTTTAAAGTCATTGCATTGTCAGGGAAAAGTAATATAAACTATTTACATTTTGGTAAGTCAAGGACTCGTGTTACAATGTCTATAGTACTGGGACGTTAGCGTAATGGCTCTGTCGCTGAACTCCCACGTAGTCGACTGTGGTTGGAGTCCTGGACCTGGCAGCTTAAACTCACGCCGGGTGTGTGTGTGTGCATGCCCAAGATCCTGAGAGGAGAATGGAGGAGAAGGGATTGCGGCATGGCCATCCCCCCTGGGGGGTGATTTCTCGCTTTCTGTATGTCTGTCTTTGGATTTCTGGCGAGCGCATGTGCCCTATAGCAAAAACAAAAACTCTCCAAAAAAAAAAAATTGTCTATAGTACTGCCAGGAAAACATTGAAGAAAAAATAATTAACAAGATAATAGAAGACAAAATTGACAATAAACAATAGAATCAATTCTAGTAAACACAAGAAAAAAAGGAAAAAAGAGTGCAGAAAAATAGTAAGGGACCAACCTGGTGGCAGTTAGTAACAAATTGAACTATAGTGCTGGAAGCCTTATGGCCAAGGAGGGTTGGGCTCTCCAGATTGACGTGAAAACATACCAAGTATGTATGTGGACATCCAAGATCCCGACAGGAAGGTTATAGGAGTTAGAGTGTAGCGTGATGAGACCCCGTCAATGGTGCCTGGCTGCCTTTTTTCCTCCGTCTCTCTTTCTCTCTCTCTCTTGCACATGTATGCACTCTCTATTGTGAATAAAACTATTTAGAAAGGGGCCAGTAAGTGGCATGGCGGTTAAGACACTGGACCTCACATGACCAACTGTGGTTCAAGTCTCAGACCTGGTGGCTTTTTTTCTCACTTTCTCGCTCTCTCTCTCTAGTCAGGTTTTTAAAATAAATAAATAAATAAAATTAAGTACATACTTATCTTTAAATGTTTATAAAAGTAGTAAGAAAACGTACTTCAACCCAATTTAATATATAAGCAAACTAAGTACCAATATCACACTAGAAAAATCTCGAGATAAATGATATTCTAAAAACTAGTTTATAGGGACCAGCAGTTAGCGTAATGTCGCTGGACTCCCATGTAGTCAACCACAGTTCACGTCCCAGACCCGGTGGCTTAAACTCATGCTGGGCGCCTGTGAGTGCATGCCCAAGATCCCAAGAGGAGAACGGAGGAAAAGGGATTGCGGCGTGGCCATCCCCCCTGGGGGGTGATTTCTCGCTTTCTGTCTCTCTGTCTCTCTGGCAAGCACACACGCCCTATAGCAAAAACCTCTCCAAAAAAAAAAAAAAACTAGTTTATAGGGACCAGCAGGTGGCATGGTGGTATGGTGGTTAAGGGCACTGGACTCCCACACGGCTGATCACAGTTTGAGTCACAGTCCTCATGGCTTGCTTCCTCTCTCTCTCACTCTGTCCCTTTCTGGTTCCTCTCTCTCTCACTCTGTCCCTTTCTGGTCGAAATAAATAAATAAATAATAAATAAAGTTAAATAATTTTTTAAAACTAGTTTATGAATTATTTACTTCTACCAAGTTTACAAAAAAGAAGAAATATCAAAAAAGTGAAGGATTTAGGTCTTTAAAGAACCTATTTTGAAAATCAATTGTATCACACTTTTCTAAAAAGCTTAAAGACAGCTTCCTTTCCAGCTGTTTTAGAATTCTGGTTTTTTAAATAATTATCTTATTTAACTTTATTTACTTATTTAATTTGACCAGAAAGGGACAGAGCCAGAGAGCGAGAGCGAGAGAGAGAGAGAGAGAGAAAGTGAGAAAGCAAGCTGCCAGCTCTGGGACTTGAACCACAGTTGACCATGTGGGAGTCCAGCACCCTTTACCACCACACTACCTGCTAGTCCTAAATTCTGTTTCTCTTAAACTCAAGAATACTTCAAAGAAATCTAGATCTGGGCCAACCAGCTAGATCCCACAAGGCTGACCATGCAGTTCGAATCTTGGGCATGGCAGCTTGAAAAATGAACAGGGAGCATGTGCATGTGCAAAATTCCAAGGAGAAACTGGAAAAGAAGAAACTGCAGCATGGCCATCCCCCTTGGGGGGTGATTTCTCATTTTCCCCTCACTCTCTGTCAGTCTGTCTGTCTCTCTGACGTGCATATGCACCCTATAGCAAAAACCAAAAAGAAAAAATAAAGCTAAAGTCTTATCTAATTATGTGACTTTCTTTATGTTGAAGACACCATGGAATCCAATCACAGCTCTAACCCTTAGTATCAGTCTTACCTTGGGCAAGTTATTTTATCTTATCAAACACAGCATTCTGATCTATAAAATGGGAATAACACCTATCACAAAGGTTAAATTACAATAGATAATGCACATAAAAAACTTAGCTCAGGGACCAGCAGATGGCATAATAGCTACATCGCTGGACTCCCACATAATTGACTGTGGTTCGAATCCCAGACCTGGTGGCTTAAACTCACACCGGGCTTGTGTGCCTGCATGCCCAAAATTATAAGAGAATGAAGGAGAAGGGATTGTGGCATGGCCATACCCCCCAGGGGTGAGGGTGATTTCTGGCTTCTTCTCTATCTCTCTCTGTCTTTCTGGTGAGTGCATGCACCCTACAGCAAAAACTTCTCCAAAAAAAAAAACTAAATTAAAAAATAAAAAATCTTAGCTCAAAGGTTAGCACATAGTAAAAGCTTAGTAACAGTCACCTATTAAATCACTACATTCTAACAATAAACAGGCATTTCTGAAAAACACACACACAAACCATATGCAAATGTACCACATAAAGCAATTTATATGTTTACTTTTAAATTTCATACATATAGAAAACCTAGCATTCCTATGCCAAATACTATCAATTCATACCTTTGCAACAGAGGCATTATGTTTTAAGACCAGAAAGGTTATAGACATAATAAACATGTTCTATATACTCACCTGACATCGGATTGCTTCTACTCGGTAAGGGTTAAAACTCTTCTGGCATTTGCAACACAGTTGTTTGAAATAAACCTGAAGAGAAGTTCACCATTTTTACACAAGCTTTAACAACAACAAAGTGTGTATGTGCACATGTGTGTACCTCCATTCCCAAGACTTCAGTTCTTAATTTAAGTAATCCATTTCTTTACTTGAACTTCACTTTTACCCAGCCTCTACTCTTGAGGTTTTCAGCTCTACCTAGGACCATCAGTCAGTTGTCTTACACCTTCAATCTAATTTTTCTTTCCTATAAAATTAAAATAATTCTCCTTACTTTTTCTACTGTTCTGACAACTACCCAGTAATGCACATAAAGTATCACAGCATGTACTCAATGGAAGTAGCTGTTAAAATTTTATCCATTGTGCAGACCAAACCCTTGACCTTCTCCTTTTGTCTTGCTCTGCTGGTTCTTACATATTTAATTTTTCAGTATTTCTCACTTGAACTTTAAGTTATTTGTGGTTATCCATTAAAAACACAGGCTTTGTAGGTGATAAATTTTTCCTATGCATATTTTCTTCCTACCTTACTTGAAAGTCTCCTATTTATCCTTTAAAACCCTGCTTGTTTGTCATGATGCTGTAACTCACGCAGGGTTAATCGCCCCAGCCCCGAATCATTTTTGTACTGTTCCCATGTCATGAGTGCCACTGCATGTTGACTATCACTGAATTGTATTTTATCTGTATTACTCCTAACAGAATAAATTTCTCAAGGGCAAATTTTGTGTCCTTTTTTTTTTTTTTTGGTATCCTAGTACCTTAAAATGTTAGAACTATCTTTTTTTTTTTTTTGGAAAGAGAAGGGAAGTAATTTTTTTTGAAGAGGTTTATGCTACAGGGCACGTGTGCTCACCAGAAAGACAGAGAGAAAGAGACAGAAAGCGGGAAATCACCTCCCGGGGGGATGGTCACACCGCAATCCCTTCTCCTCCATTCTCCTCTCGGGATCTTGGGCACACAGCACATGCACCTGGCATGAGTTTAAGCCACTGGGTCCAGGACTCGAACCGTGGTCGACTATATGGGAGTTTAGTGACGTAGCCGTTACGCGAACTGCTGGTCCCGAGAAGGGAAGTAATTTTAACTAAAGTTAAAAATATATTCTCCTATGTCGTCTAGCAAATGGCTAGTCTGAAAAGTCAAGTTTCATTCAGGTTATAGTATGCCTCTGCCCACTTTCTTCACAATTTTTTTTTAGCTAGAAAGGCAGTAGTTAACATGCCACACAGGGGACACCAACTTAAATATTTTGAGAAGTCAGTAAAATAGTCCCTACGTAGACTGTTGCAAAACAGAGCATAGAGGCCAAGCAAAAAGAAACCAAAGCTGCTCAGCTGCAGCCTACTGTTCTCATTTCAAAATAAAAATTCATAATGACCACAGCCTATGATGTGCAGACTTGCAGACCAAATTTCTGGTATCCAGAGATGCAGACTTTAATATGAAGTCTTCTCCAATCATAATGTGTTGACAATTCAAGGGAGAGAAAAACCAACCAACCAACCAACCAAAAACAAAACAAAACACACACACACACACACACACACACACACACACACACACACCCCTTAGGTTTAGCCTAAGCTAACCTTTTTCCTCTTACTGCCCCATCTGGTGGACAAACAGTGAATATTTCCCATCACTATGGCCCAAACCTGTTTTAATTATACCATCTAAAACATGGTTACAGAAAGTCCCAATGTAGATAAGAAAAAAAGTTCATCTAAATAAACTGACAAAAGCAAATATAATGCCCAGTTACAGTTCAGGAACTCAGTTCAAACTTTCAGTGAGCACGCATCGCATTGAGAATGCCAAGTTATCTAAGACAAGATTGTGAGGGTCATATTCCATCAAGAGACAAATTCCTCCTCCACTTGACATCTCTACCCACCAATTCATTCTCCACTCACTTTTACTTACCTTATTAGTTCCAGAAATGCACCACACGTAAGCACTCTCCCATCTGGTTTTACAATCTTTACAATGAAAATAGCCATATTTCGGTTCCAAAAACTGAAAATAAGGGGGAAAAGTCTTTTACTCTCTAGGGGAAAAAAGCCAGATCCTTCTTTTATGGCTTTGTAAAAGAAAAAGCAACCACTTCTTTAATCATGCTTTATCTATTTTCAATGCTACTATACTAATTTGTAATAGTTTCTCATCTTCCTTGAGGATCATTCTGGGATTCTTCCTGCTGCTCTTCCATACTTTTCCAACCCATTTTCCAAAATGCCACTAGCACGATCTCCCAAAACAAAAAATCTGGTTTCTTATTTCACAAACTCAAAGCCCTTCATTGTTTCCTCATTCCCGGTAGCAATACTTGCCAGTGTTTTCACAGGCTTGGTTAGGACTGGCACCTTATTTTATCAAAAACTTATGAATCATATAGGTCCTATAAAATGCATGTCTGCAGAAGTATCCTTCACCAAATAAAGAGAGGAAGTAAGGGAAAATTTTGCTAGCATTTCCCAAAAAAATGGAAAAGAAAAGAGAGGGAATGGGACTGGAAAAGGACTAAGAAGGAAGAGAAAGTCCACCTGGAAGCTGGGTTTGCTGAGTGGATCGGTGGCAGAGTCTCCATGTACTTGCTTGCTCTTCTTATCTGGAGGGTATGTCTTGTCCTTTTCCCCAAATACATTCGGTTGACCTAGTTCCTTCTGCCCGTCATCTTCTGACCTTGGTGTTGATGGCTGCTGTTGGCCAGCCTCGGCAGGGCCTGAAATTGCCTTACTATCTTCATCTTCTCCTTCCTTCCGCAACTGAATCAAGTTCCTGCGTCCTATCACTGATGAATAGCCTCTCCAGGCCAGCGCAGGCTCCCTGGGTCCCCTATGGTCCCAGGGGGAGTGGCTGCGCAAGGTGCGAGGCCCCAGTGAGCACTGTACGGACTTGTCCACCCGTGGGCTCACCTGCACGCCCACCTCCTTTGTGTTGGCCTTGCACAGGCGCAGGCTCAGGCTGGGGTTCATCTGGGCAAGAATGGCCTTAAGCTGTGCCCTCTTGTAAGGGTCCATGCAGTAGTCAGAGGCATTCGTGGGCACCAGCAGCCCTGGCCTGGCCAGGAAAGTGGGGGGACCCATGTTTTGTCTCCAGTCAGGGTGTTTGTGTCCTGAAAATCCAAGCTGTCCCAAAGGCAGTGTGTTCCCATAGTTCTGGTACAAGCCACAGGGAACTCGGACAAAGCGCTCCATCTGCTCAGGAGGTGCTCAAGAGCAGCCTAATCCCAGGGTCCTTGTTTTGGCTTCCACATTCATCTGCCCCTTCTTTCTTCTAATTGAGTTAGTATGGGTTCACTCCCAGCTTCTCCATTTATTTCAGATTCTAAAGGGAGCTGCCACCTATTACCCTAATTGAAGGAGGAAGACTCTACAGAGGTCTAATTGCCACCTGATTCCTAATTGCTTTTCCCTACCTCTTCAATTCACTGTTCCTGTATTTTTTTTTTCAAAGCTGTTTTTCATTTCTTAATTATTCATGAACGTTTTAATTAGCAATTCATGCACATACTCCTCTGGTGACTATCACTTGTACACTGTCAGTGGGAGTGTAAATTGGTACAGCCCTAAACAGTGTGGAGGCTTCTCAAAAAATGAGAAATAGAACTACCATACAATCCAGAAAATCCATTGCTGGGTATACACACAAAGGAAATGAAATCAATATCTTGAAGAAATATCTGCACACCCGTGTTCACTGCAGCATTATTTCTAATAGCCAAGCTATGAAACAACCTAAGTGTCCATCATTGGATGAATGGATAAAGAAATCGCAAAACACACACACACACACATAAACGGATATTATTCAGCCTTCTAAAAAGGAGATCCTACCAGTTCCAGTGACATAGATGAAGGGACACTAAACTAAATTAACCAGACAATTAAAAATACTGCACAATCTTACATGTAGAATCTTAAAAATTAAACACATACAATCAGGGAATAGAATGGTCATTACCAGGGATAGGAAGGTGGGGGAAATGAGATATTTGGTCAAAGATATAAAGATGCCATTATGTAGGATGAATAAAACTAGATTTCTAGTGCACAGTATGATGACTACAGTTAATAATACTGTATTTTATATTGAACATTTGCCCAGAGAGGGGGCCAGAAGGTGGTGTGGTGATTGAGGCACTGGACACTCCCACATGGCCAACCACAATTCCAGTCCTGGACCTAGTGCCTAGCTTTCTCTCTTTATCTGGTTTAATTAAAATAAATAAATGAATAAATTAAAAATGGAATAAATAATTCTTTAAAAATTTGCCAAGAGAGTAGAGTTTAGGTGTTCTCATCACACATTTACAAAAGGTAAGGAGACAGACATGTTAATTATGTAACTGCAGTAATCATTCGCTACATATATACATGTCAAACATCACATATGCATTACATGTGAAAAAAATCTGTAACAAATTAAAAAGAGCACCCATTCTCTGGCAAAAATTTTTAAATAAAGCATATAGTAAATTGAATAAAAGTAATTTATCAGAGAGCTGCACTAGAATAGGATAAGGAAGAAAGTATATTATGGCAGAACTAATGAGTGTGTAGACCCTGATCTCAAGAGAGCAAGGGTCATAAAAATATGGGCGGGTCTATATAATGAAGGAAAATATATTTCAGAGAATTGTGGTGACATGCCAACCATTCTCATTAGTTCACTCCTAGTGAGACACTTCTCTCCCCACCACCAATAACAAAAAAAGGGGTGACAAAAGCAAACTGTTTTGATTTAGAGGATAAGTGCCGATTTAATCACAGAGTAATTAAGTATATGAAGTCAAATAAACTTGAATTCAAACCAGGGCCTTGTTACCACACAAGCTACTTAACTACTTGATCATTTCATCATCTGACAGTACTAGCCAATTCATTGATTTATTGTAAGATTAAATGATGTGTTGTTATAAAGGACAAAATGGAATGCTTTACTCATAAAATGTTGGAGACCAGCAGGTGGCTTAATGGTTTTGTCACTGGACACCCATACAGTTGACACCCAGGGTTCTAGTCCCAGAGTTGGAGGCTTAAAACTCACACCGGGCATGTTTGTGCATGCCCAAAATCCTGAGTGGAGAATGAAGGAGAAGAGATTGCCATGTGGCCATCCCCTCTGGGAACTGGGCATGATTTCTCACTTTCAGTCTCTCTGTCTCTCCAGCAAGCACACAAACCCTTTAGTCAAAAAGTCTCTCTTAAAAACAAAATTCAGTATTTGGTAGCTTTGTAAGGTAAGGATCTATGGTTCCTTTGCTAATTAAATATAGAAGTTGAGAAGCTTTAGTAGCTATGTACATTACTAAGTTCTTTTGTTACAGTCAAGGATTATAGGTTCTCAACTAAAATGATACCTAAGGAACAAAGTGAAGCTCACCCTTTCCCTAATCCAAGGTCGCTTCTGCTATTTACTGCTCAGGCACCTTCTAGAAGTAGCAAGGCCCCAGGAGTAGCTTTCACTTTTGAATCCACTTAAAGGCTTTCTGGGTTATATAACAAACCCCAATTAAACTTTGTGCTTGCATCGTCACAGAACTTTTGGTCCAACAAATCTGTAGGAAGAAATACTTGGAAGATGTGAAGACTTCAGGAAATAGAATGCTATTATACAGATTTTAAAAAATTACAATACCTCTAATGTGCATTTATTTTTTAATTAGGGGAAAGCGCAAACGCAGTCCCCCACTACTACAAATCATGCATTCGAGTTTCCCACATTTGGGGAAATCGCAGGGGTCAGCACACCCGGAGTGCAATGGATAAGCCTCGCCCTGGAAAAACCACCTTCGTGATCACGGTAGCGCCCCTGCCAGCTAAGTTTATTTATTTATTTATTTATTTAAAATGTGCATTTCTGAGGCAGTTGTGAAAGTGGCCTGTGATCGCTTACTCTCTTGTAAATTCAGAGTTTGTTGAATTTCATTATTTTTCTACCTTTTGTTTTGTGTCTATTTTGAATTAAAATTTGTTTCGCCAAAGCAAAGAATGGTCGGGTTCCTCTTTTCCAGGTCAGTTTGAAGACAGGTACTAAAAACGGAGACCAGTACCCTAAGGTACTACCCAATCCTGCAGATGAGGAGCACCTAACAAAGCAGCCAAGGCGGGTCTGTTTTCCAATCAGGGCAACCGGCTCAAAGGCCTCGAACACCTGGGGCCTAAGTGCAGCACCAATGTCCTCTGACACCAAGTATCAGCCTCCTTCACTCCTGCGCGGTTGGGAAAGGAGACATCAGCAACCAAAGGCCACTCCGGAGTTCCTAAATTCGGCCAGATTTGGGCAACGCGCCTGGGAGGACAAAGGCTCTCAGGACAGAACACAGGCCTTCCCAAGGTCACAGGCCGTGTCCGGGGGCGCCCACACAAACGTGAGAACGAGGGAACGCGAGAAGGGGCTTGGAATAGACATGGAGGGGGCAGCCCCGGTGCTGGAGGCTCGGGGGAAATAACGCACGGCAGCTCCGAGTTATATGGTCCGAAACCTACTGACACTGTACCTAACTAAGAACTACCCTCCTCCCACCGGTCCCGACTTCCGGGGCACGCACACGCTGCGTGTTGCGTCACGGCGTCGTCGCGTCAAGTGCCGAGAGCGGGATTTTGGCGCGAACGTCTGAAAGGAGACGGCGGAGGTGGAGCTCCCGGAGCTCGGCGCCTTAGTCCGGTCTGGGGCTGTGGGTCAGCACCGGAAAGGGGTTGAGCGGTCGGATTTGGAAGTGTCGGCGCGGTTTTGGTCAGCCCACTCCAGGCAAGGAAGAGAAGCGGGTCAGTGGTGACTCGGGTAGACACGGGCGTGCCTCCCGCCGTCCCAGGCGACCAGGGTGGCGAGGGGGGGTAGCGCCTCTCCAGCCCGGAGTCTCAGCGGCTTCTGCCGTCCCAGTCTCTGCATCCTCCACCCTTGCCTCACACAAAGGTCCTTGTCCCGGAGCGAAGTTCCTGCAAAGCAGATCCGACCCTCACGCTTTCTGGGGCTCCGCTTTCTAACTCGGGTACCGACGAGCTACTCAGGGTTTGCTTCCCGGATGTCCTGCGCTATAGGTTCGCCCTCGAGCCGGGGGTTTGACAAGCAGGGATCCGCGTGTGCGCAGATTTTGTTTTTCAACAAGCATATTGGAAAATACAGTACTGTACATTTATTTTGTTTTCCTTATGATTTGCATAGTAGCATTTTATCTAGCTTATTTTAAGGGTGCAGTATAGAAATATATATACAAAATATACGTTAATCGATTGTTAATGATATAGGTAAGGCTTACAGTACACTTTCGAAGTGAAGTTTTGGGAGTCAGAAATTATAGGGAATTTTCAACTGGGAATTAGTTTCCCAATCCCGAGTTGTTCAGGGGTCAACTGTAATTTTGAAACACGGTGTTACTTTAACAGAATATTGCTAATTTTTAAAATCTTGTATAGATTCTAAGCACACTATATGTGTGTTTCTTAACCACAAGTAATTGCTATATTCCAAATATTTAGTGTTGGAAATTATCAAATAGTGTTTGTCTCTTACAGAACCCTTCTACAACGGGTGACTAGTAAACATAATTTAAATATTAAAAATTTTTATCTTAAATCTTATTAGCCACTTTTCAGATGCTTAATGTGCCCAATAGTTACTGTGTTACCAAGATTACAGACTGTTCCCTTTCTCACAGAAAGTTCTTTAATTCCTAAAAATAGAGCTGACCATAAAGAGCGTAATTTTACACAACTTTACTAGCACTTCTATTAATATTTTTACCTGAGTCACTTACAAAATGCATTCCCGTGAAGTTTGTTTTGGTATTTTCTTTTGCAGATTTATAGACCAAGCGTTGGAACAATATTGTAGATAAAAATGCCCATTGAATCCAAAGAGAGGCCAACCTTTTTTGAAATTTTTAAGACACAATGCAACCAAGCAGGTATTGACAAATTTTATTTAACTTGATAAATTACAACAAGAAAATGTTTTCATAAAAATAGGTAAAGATGCATGCTTGCTAAAAAGAACCCAATACTTTAATGTTGTTTACACTAAAAACTGTATCTTATGAAGGCATAAATCCAATAAGAACATAAGTATCACCTGCTAACCACATGGTAAGGATAGAATCATTAGTGATAATGAAAAGACTGGCTGGCCCCTTGATTAGCAGTAAAGCATTACTTGCATTTCATCTTTAATAATGGTATTGTATGCACAGGTTGCCAAACTTTCTGGTTTCAGTATTCTTTTATACTCTTAAGAAATCACTGAGAAATCCCAAAGAACTTCTGTTTA